ATGTATCACCAATAATAATACAGGTACACATTTTCTAATAGACACCGGTGCTGACGTATCTGTTTTAGCAGCACGCAAACGAAACATAATTTCGGACCAATTATTATATGCTGCAAACGGCATAAAAATTAAAACGTACGGCGAACAGACCATTGTTCTCGATTTAGGGTTACGCCGTCCTTTCCGTTGGAAATTTATTTTAGCCGACGTCCAAAAATCGATCATAGGCGCCGATTTTCTTTCAGCTAACAAATTAATGGTAGATTTACACGGAAAAAAATTAATTGATAAAATAACATTATTATCACGTGTAGCAAACGTTTCCCAAACTACCGAGCCTAGTGCTTGCTCCATAGATGTCAACAAAGAGTTTCATAAAATATTACGAAAATTTCCCGACATTACAAAAGTGGAAAATTTTAAAATAGAGCCTAAACATAACATTCAACATCATATCTAGACTACTGGACCTCCAGTACATGAAAAAGCATGTCCACTCAACCCGAAGAAGTATAAATTAGCCAAAGCTGAATTCGAAAGAATGATGCAATTAGGCATTTGTAGACCTTCGAACAGCCCATGGGCCAACCCACTTGTATGCGTAGATAAGAAAGATGGTAAAGAAACAAGACCTTGCGGTGATTATCGCAGACTCAATGCACAAACCATTCCAGATAGATATCCTTTACCAAGACTTTTAGATTTTACATTTATACTTAATAAAGGTAAAATAATATTTTCAAAAATTGACGTCCGTAAAGCTTACTTTAACATACCTATAAGACCTGAGGACATTCCTAAAACAGCTGTAATAACGCCCTTTGGCTTATTTGAATTTACTAGAATGAACTTCGGTTTGCGTAATGCTGCCCAAGACTTCCAAAGATTCGTAAATAACGCTCTTAAAGGCTTAGATTTCGCATTTGCTTATATAGATGACATTATAATAGGATCACAAAGTAAGGAATCTCACTTAAAACACCTAGAACTAGTTCTCGAACGATTAAACAACCACGGTCTCACTATAAATCTACCAAAATGCGAATTTGGAAAATTCCACTTAGAATTTTTAGGTTATCATATCAATAAAGAAGGCATCAAACCTAGTTTAAAAAAAATACAAACTATTTTAAATTATTCTCAACCTAATAATATTGAAGAGCTACGTCGATTCTTAGGTATGATAAATTTTTATAGAAAAAATATCCCAAAGGCAGCAGAAATTCAATCACCATTAAACGCATACTTACATAATTCAAAAAAACGCGACAAAACTAAAATTACTTGGTCTGAAAACGCGATAAAAGCATTCAACCAATGTAAAGAAAGTTTAAATAACGCTGTTATGTTATCGCACCCCGATAGTTCCGCACCACTTATCTTAATGACAGATGCTTCGGAGAATTGCGTAGGCGCAGCCTTGCATCAAAAAATTAACGATAAATTAGAACCCTTAGGATTTTACTCAAAAAAATTGACGGAGACTCAAACTAGATATAGCACATATGACAGAGAATTATTAACTATTTATTTATCAATAAAACATTTTAGATATATGGAAGAAGGTAGAGAACTAACCGTACTAACCGATCATAAACTATTAACATACGCACTAACAAAAAAAGTCACCATCAGATTCACCTAGACGATTGAGACAATTAGATTTTATTTCACAATTTTGTGACAAAATTCAATATACAGGATGTTTGGAAATACATGTATAATCCCGAAACATGGCCATACAACTTAGCACAAAGAACATAATTAATATGTCAAAAAACAATTTCACGTAAATTGAGATTTTCATAAAAATATTTGAAAAATTTATTTTCAATTAATATGCTACAACCCTGAAAGCTTATACGTGCCGTCCCGGCGTACACACACTCTCTCTCTCTCGTTTCACACTTTGTTATCGCCGACGCGCGCACTCGACTGCGTATGAGTTTACTTGTAATTAAAACAATTTAAGATTAAACAGGTACATACCTAGAGGCAGCGTTCTAATCACTCTCTCAGCTCTCACTTGTCAACATTACCTACACTTTACCTCCACTTATCAGTCCAAAGTCTCGATATGCCGGCCACCGCATAAAACACACATCTCCATTCGATTCGACAAAGACCGTGTTACTCTCGACGTAAAATCATATCCTCTGTCTCGATGGAATAGGTGTCCGGCCTTCCTGTTTCACACTATGGAATGAACCGGTTGTATGTAACCGATCCACAAGTGCCGTGAAGCACCGTTAAGAAGGAAGACGTCGAGAGTTTTCAGATCTTCCTGACATGTGGCGCTCGTCATAAAGCCGCCGAGCCGCAGCAAGATTACCGTCACAAGCACCAACACACAATATAATCTCGTAATATTAGGCATTTGAGTACGAACTCATTGCACTGACCGCACACAAACACAACACACAGGTAAACAGAACGAGTATGAAAAACAAACCAAAAGTCCCGAAAGAACGAAAACGTAAGTTGACCTTCTAAATTCTGAAAACTCACAAGTGCACCGATGAAAGCCTCGGACGCGACTGAAGCGATGACCAAAACTACATAGGTAATTATTGCAACTCGAACACCAATGTAGGTACCTAAATCAAAAGTCCACCGATTTAGGGTACCGCGTCATCAAATTCTGTGTTAGGTAACCTACCTAGCAAAAAATCGTAATTTTATTATTGAATTAAACAATGAAATTTCAATGTAACTTATTATACTATTTTTTTTACTGACGAAATTGATAATTAGGCTGTTTACTTATTATTACAATTTACGCTTCTCACGGTTACAAAAGAAAAAAGGCCACAATATTAAAAGTGGTTACCTAATTTAAGACCAAGTCATTAACAAAATTATAAGGCATAAAAATTATTGATTAAATTAGAAAAGAAAAGAAATATTATTTATTATTAGACCTTTCCATTACAACTAACCTTTATTTAATTATCATTTAAACTAAGAACAAGCGAGATATTTAGATTATTAATATCATTGTGTAAATCCGTATTTTATTGTTTCGTCAAAATAACACTGCTTTATGAAAAAAATAACAAAACTTCAAAGCAATTAATCTACAGAACCTTACTGAATCATCAGAAACCCGAGTTTCTCAATACACATCGTTGTCGATTTTATGTCTCTGTCGCTCCTTCTTGCATAGACTAATGTGAGCAATAGTGCAGATATCTAACTTCAATCAAAGTATTTGCAATTTCTTTTTTATTTTGACTGTATTATTAGAGAAGTTTTTTTAATAATAGGTTTTGAAACACCGTTAATCACAAGATTGGTGTACTTTTATGGTTAAAAGTCATTTACTACTAACTTTTTCTTTGTTTTTGAAATAATAAATTACTCTCGGATGCATATTTATTATAGGCATTTATCGTTAGATTTATTTAACTTCTGTTATTTTTTAAACTAGTTCGGCACATGAAGTCAATGACCAAATACAACACAACAGCTGTTTTTAGGGTTGTCAGCGTACAGTTTTACTTCGAAGAAAAAAGCTAAATATCTAGGTTATGTGCTGGGTTTCAGACTTAGTGATCATTTTTCTGGGTTCTATTCATCATACCGTATGTGCCATATTCGGGATTATACAGGTATTACCAAATACGCTGTATAGAAGGTGATAAAAATATAGAAGCTGACGCTTTATCTAGGATAGAGGCAATAACAATACATTCTCTATTAAACTATGAAGATCTGGCCGAGGCACAAAAAAAAGATAAAGAATTACAAAGTCTCATTAAACAAAAAAGTGATCAATTTAAACTAATTACAATGCCAGACTCTGATATTCAAATAACTTGCGAAATATCAACTCATAACATTCGCCCTTATTTACCTACACGGTTTTGGGAATCGCGGCAACAAGGCGATTGCTTAAATCAAGGTATCAAATCAAAACATTTATTTGCTCAAATATTGTGTCAATACAGTTGTTACATAGATTTCATGCTCAACAATATTTTGCCTTATATAGTAGGCGTGCAAATATTATATTTCTAATGTCATTAAATTTTTAAAATATCATATAATTTAAGTTTGATTACAATGTCCGTGATATTATCCAAATACAATATAATTTTTTTTTACTATTTTTGGACCAATATGAATAGCGATATAAAAAATATGTCCAAAGTTGCTTTCCTTGTCAAAAAAGTAAAATGCAACGCCACACATTCACACCGATAGGCGAATTTGATGGTGCGTCACGCTTCGAACATGTACATATAGATATCATAGGTCCGTTACCATATTCCGATGATTATAGATATTGCGTAACCATGATAGATAGAGTAACAAGGTGGCCTGAAGTAATACCCACGAAAGATATTACAGCTGAAACAGTTGCTAAAGTTTTAATAGAAAACTTCGATAGCTCGTTTCGGTTGTCCAAAACGGCTAACTTCAGATCAAGGTCGTCAATTCGAGTCCGACTCGACCCGACTCGATTACCGGCCTTTGCGATCGTCGCAAATGCGCTCATCAACACACGCGATTAAAGAAAACAGTTTTTTTTACTTTTTTATATAGGTGGGATATTGCCATATTTTTTGTCAAATTGAATATACCTATTTTGATATTACTGTAAGATTTACTTTTAATTAATCAGAAATAAAAATATAATCTATATTTTAGACAAAATCCAAATTTGCTAGTGACATCTAGTTTTCTTTCGAGAACTAATTTTTATTATTAAATAATTTCTCATTTGCCGGATTGATGTTTCTGTCCTTTTTTTTTTTTAAGAAAACAGATTCATTGATAATTTAGGAAACAGTTTAAAGTTTCAAATATGTACATATTTGAAATATTTATTTGTTGCTTGCTCGTATGTACGAGCTAGACCCCTTTGCCTGTAATTAAACAACAGAAACTACCGACCAATAGAGTTGAGACATTTGTATGAATTTTTATCTATTTGTCAAAATCCCTGGCGTGTTGTAGTTTCATTGGACTTTTGTTTTGGTCACCAATAGGAAAGGCCCAATCGCTTTTATTCAGTGACGTAGTGATATTTCAAAGCGTGTACAACGCTATACTAAAAAATTGTTCACCCACAGTCTGTTTCATACCGGCATTAAAATCAGAATAGAGAACGGTGGTGTTTTACATTTAGCTTTTAAACTGTTTTACTAGCAATGAAATATTTGTTATTGCTAGGCTTCGGTCTTCTGTTTCTCTCAGGTAAATTTAAACATTTGTGAATATCGACTACATATTTCGAAGAGCTTTAAAAACACAAGTTTTTGTGTGTATTTTATGTATATTAAGACTGAAAAAAACCCTATCATGTTTTTTAAATTGATCATCACATTTTTTTTTATTAGACATCTAATATAGATAACAGTGCACTAGAAGTTTCTTTGTCGACGTCGGAGATTTCAAAAAATCTTTACGTTTATGTATGTATTGGTGTGTGATGCTGTGTAGGATGGGCTCACGGTCAGGATGGTGTCGGCGTGGGCACCGCCGAGGAGGTGACGGTGGACGCTGATCTCGGGGCGTCAAGGGAAGGTTCACGTACTGGTATGTTAGTTGTATCATCTCTACGTTTTAATTAGATACCTTGGCGCTTCTACCTCTGGTTGAGGCATGTAGGTCACATACTTTTTTAGATTTTCTCAAATTCTCTTTCTTTACCTTACAGGAAAATACTTAAAAACCACTATAGATGATATTAATAATAGGAAGGTCTGGTATATCAATATCTTTTGATGGATGCCTAATTCACATACTTATCAAACTGAATATAAGGTTGCCATCTAAATAAAAAAGCCGGCTTTTGTATTAGGCCAGACCTTTTGTCCTAAAGGCTTTTAGAGCAAAAAGTCTGGATGTATCTTCTTTATTAGACTTTAGTTAAGCAGGACATATTTTTATCAATTTGACAATTTTAAAATAATAAGTAAGTGGTATTGCATTTTTTCTGTAGGCACTTTTAATCCGGTTTTAATTAGTTTTGGTCATGGGGGTAACAAACATGAAAGATTACGAGATACTGTCCAATGGGTACTATCTTAAAAACCTACTAACATGATTTTAATAAATATTACTTATTAATTTAAAAAATAATTCTTTTTAATGAAGGTAGGACTGTTGATCTACTCTTGGTGTTTTGAGGGTTGGTAATTTATACAACTTCTGTGGTTACTTAATTCCTGCATGTGGAAATACAGATTTCACTTACAGTTTCACTTCACTTGTTCTTGGTTCTCATTCTCTATGACTCACATGACATTATCAATAAGTATAAAACCATATGAAACATTACATATTTGAAAATGATATGTGGCATTTTATCTTAAGTCCTAATAAGCTTAGTAAAACTCTATATCTTAGCAGTTGATATTTTGCTTTCTGTAATAAACTCTACAAATATGTATGTCTTTCATGGCCAGATTGTAGAATTGATTAATTAATAATAATTTAAAATTGTTGTATTTCATAAAATAAAAAAAACTTGCTGCCCACATTATGATGTGGCTTGGCTAGAACAAATAATAATCTACAAATACAGATTGTTACACAATGATATGGAGGGCCTATAGTATGACTGCTTCATGATTTGGCCAAGCATTAGTGATCATATTGTTGAATTATTACATTAGTCTCTTTTGAGGCACTGATGTTGCATTGTTTCTGTGATACATGATGTATTTTTTAGGTAATAAAAGAAAGTAGGGTGACCAAACAACGGCAACAAAATGTTGGCATTTAAACAATATGATCCATTTTAGATGGTTCTTTTATAAATAATTACAATTATTAGAAATGGCCAGACATTCATGAAGTGATATTTCCTATGATCTGGCTACAACATGTTTGTTTATTAAATTAGGCGGTGAATAATGATTTGGTATTTCATATAATGAAGGTGCTGATGTTAACTGTAATTTATTATTGTTTTAAGTAAACAAACTTCTGCCCTAGCGTTGCTTGAGCTTATCATCTGCAGCTAGTATAAGCAAGCGTGTTTTGAGCCATGATGAATCTTGTATGTGATGATTTAGTCGACGATCAGAAAAAGTAGTTGTAGCTATTTTTGAAGCTTGATCCCACCACCAGCCATACCTAAAATGAAAATATTATGATAGAATTCACTTTTTCATTAAATTTAATGAAATGGAATTGTTCACTTTATATAGGCTTAAAGTCAACATTATTTAGGACTAGGTGTTGGCCCGCGACTTCAGAGGTGTGGGCTATGAAGATATGCATTGCCATTAAGTTTTTTAATGCAAAATATTCCCCTGAACCACCTTTTAGGTAGGACCTAAATCCTAGAAATAATGTCAATGAAAAATTTGAAACTCCCAGCACTCATAGTTTCTGAGATTTCGCAATGAGCTAGTAAGAGCCCTTTCGCTTTGATATGTTTTTACTATCTAAAGGAAGCTTAGTATTATTATTGTGTATGAATAAGCACATGTAGTATTATAATAAAAACTTTATATACCATTATTATATTAAGATCAATTTTGCATTCAAATTGCTACAATAATATTAATTAATTATTTATGTGGTGTCAGTAGATTATGACATGTAATGATGTGCAAGATTGTTGGCTAAATAAATTTAAATATATATATATATCTTTTCATGGTTTTAATACATAAAATGTAACTCCAAATGATCCAATGGTATGCTTCTATTTATTAACAATGCAAGCTTTTGTATTTAAAATGAATTTTAAAAAATTAGATAAAATTTGCAATAGGAAAAATGTAGAATAAAAAAGGGTCATAGTTAAGTAAGAAGAAAAATATGCGCTGTGCAAATTGCAAATAAAATCAAACAGAAGCTATAATACATGGCACCACTATTATGTGTACATTAAGAAAGAATTGGTCAATTATTTGCTTCAAAACTGTATTTTTTTTGACGTCATCGCCTCCCACAGGCCCCTAAACAAAGTGCCATGCCGCATTTTTATAAAATAGTAGGAGACATTCGGCCGGTTTTTGAATCGAGGAAAGTATAAAATCACAACGTTTCACTTGATGATCACAACTGATCTTAAAAAATAAAAGCCAGAAACGAAAACCTGTCTAAGTGACGTTTGAAATGGCTTAAGTACGGTTTGAGACGTGATTAACTTTAAATTCTCAATTCGGAAACCGGGTGGAAGTCGTATTAAGTTTAACGGCATACGCACTGGTGCGCGGTGGTTAGAGGCGCGGGATACTTGTCCCTCGGTCCGCGCGTGAACATGGCTCGCACTCGATTCAGTGCCGCCTCCTCGGCCTCCGTCAGCGCCTTGTGTCGCTCCACCCTTTGCGGCGCATCTGCTACCGTAGCGGCTGTAACCCACCGAACTAAACGATCTCATCGCTTTTTTATACACTGCGTTTCGAATAATAACACACATAGTGTGTGCGTTTTTAATGTCTTTAACATTAAATGAGGGACCACGAATACGAACGAGTCGCAAACGAGTGATTGGTGTTTATCATTTGGTGATACTCACGCAAGCCGAGTGGTTTTATGGCGGAAAAGTTGGATCGACCGGGCTCACGGTGCGCCGCAAACCTCAATTTGAAGGAGCGCATGTGGAGCGCGCGCCCGCCGCCCTCACTCGGCCCTAGTTCCGGCTCCGGCGCGGGATCCTCTGCCTGCTGAGACATGTTTCACCGCTCCCGTACTTCTCCGGTACTGTCGTTTGAAGCTAGTCCGTCCGTGACTCTAGGTCGCTTGATCGATATCGCGTGGGAGACTAAATTGTTGTTGATACGAGATCACAATCGTAACTTCATTAGATCTTGTGTAATTTTAATGTGAAACTTAAGTCGGACGCTCGTACCATGGTGAACACACATTAGTGTATAAAAAAAGTTTTGTCTTTCGTTCGGGTGTGATAAAGAATACCTGTAAAACTTTACGATGCTAGTTTTCGGTTGGAAAAAGTTAACGTATCGTACGACAAATTCGCTCTCGCACCGTATTCGTTCTATGGTGTCCTAAGATTAACACGAGCATGGTTACAGATGCGGAGGCGATCCTGCGCGAAGAGGAGGCGATCTCGCCGGAGGGCCTGAGCGTGGCGCAGATGCGCGAGCTGCGCGACCGCGCTCAGAACTTCACCTTCCAGACCGAAGTCAACCGAATGATGAAGCTCATCATCAATTCGCTATACAGGAATAAGGAGGTACATGAAACTTAGTCGCGGCACGGACGATAGGGTCTTTACTGTTCGAAGCCTTAGTTTTATTAACAGAGATGAGGCCGCGGTATCGATCGCGCCGTGATCGATTCTGCAACCGGGAGCCCGATAGACAATATCCATCGAGCACGAATCTACCTACACGGTCACCTGTTTACAGATTTTCCTCCGCGAGCTGATCTCGAACGGATCGGATGCGCTGGACAAGATTCGGTTGCTGTCGTTGACGGACCGGGACGTGCTCGAGAGCAACCCCGATCTGAGCATCCGCATCAAGGCGGAGCCCGAGCGGCGGCTGCTGCACATCATCGACTCCGGCCTCGGCATGACGCGCGCGGACCTCGTCAACAACCTCGGCACCATCGCCAAGTCTGGCACCGCGGATTTCCTCTCTAAGATGCAAGATACCGAGAAGGTACTACCGCCGCGCAGTTTCGCAAAACATTTAACGACATCTGTCGAAAGAAAAAGATTTTAAACGATATACTCGGTGATCATTTCACAGTCGAGCGGGCAGGACATGAACGACATGATCGGTCAATTCGGCGTGGGCTTCTACTCTGCGTTCCTGGTGGCGGACAAGGTGACCGTCGTGTCCAAGCACAACGACGATAAACAACACATCTGGGAATCCGACGCCAACTCCTTCAGCGTGGCCGAGGACCCGCGGGGAAACACTCTCGGGCGCGGCACTCACATCACGTGCGTACCTGTACAATATAGATTGATAATTTTTTGGCCACTGTTTTTTTTTGTGTTTTGCTTTTTTATTCTTATCGCCTAACATCCTGACTCCAACATCTGTTACTGGTAGACTGGCAGAGAATGCCTTTGGCATTAAGTCCGCCTATTGTGTTAAAATGATATAAATAATAAATAGGGGTTGCATACATTAGATAAAATATTATATTTGACCAATCACAATGGTATACTAAAATATATTCGTATTTTGCTTTGAAAAATCCACTTTATCTTTGGGACTGGAACCGACGGTGAAAGGTCACCTTTCACCGTCGGGGCGACTGGTCTAATCCAGGACCTAACAGAACTGATAAATTTTTCAAGCAACTTTTACTTTTTTCATACTGCAGAGTGTATTTTCATGGACGTTCAGGCAATCCATCAAAACAGTCTAAAGAAATAATTTTACGAGTATTTAAACTTTCGACATGTATGAAATTTTGTTCCAATTATTAGATTTGAACAATCTCTGAAAAAGTATAAGTCATAAGCCGCCCGTCGTTCAGGTTGCACTTGAAGGAGGAGGCGGCGGACTACCTGCAGGCGGACACGATCCGGGCGCTGGTGAAGAAGTACTCGCAGTTCATCAACTTCCCCATCCACCTGTGGGCCTCGCGCGTCGTCACCGTCGAGGAGCCCGACGACGACGAGGCCGCCGACGCCGCCGACGCTGACGACGACGACGACGCTCAGGTGACGAGACGGATGAGGCCTCCTACGTTTTTCAAATCGCGTTTTAAGTTTCGCTTCTCACCGGAGGATCCGTTCGCAGGTCGAGGACGCCAAGGAGGAGAAGACCGAAAAGAAGAAGACCGAGAAGACCGTGTGGGACTGGGAGTTGATGAACGACAACAAGCCGATCTGGACTCGGAAACCGAGCGAAGTGACGGACGACGAGTACACGCAGTTCTACAAATCGCTCACCAAGGACGACTCGCCGCCCCTCGCCAAGTACGATGCGAACGCGCGCGGCCCGCCTATATTACGTCGGGGAAGTCCCAACACCGCGTCGGTTGAAGTGGCGAATTCGCAGGAGAGGGGAAACTTGATAATCTTATTCACCGCTCCTGGTGCATTAAAATGTGACTCGCGGGGTGTCGGAACTTCAACGATGTGCATCATTTGTTTGAGAAGGAAAAGTATGTAACGATGTGTGTCGTGCCGCAGGGCCCACTTCGTGGCGGAGGGCGAGGTGACGTTCCGCGCGTTGCTGTTCGTACCGCGCGTGCAGCCCGCGGACTCGTTCAACCGCTACGGCACCAAGACGGACCACATCAAGCTGTACGTGCGCCGCGTCTTCATCACCGACGAGTTCAACGACCTCATGCCCAACTACCTGGCCTTCATACAGGTACCCCCCGCTCCGCTTCACTGTTCACGCTCGCCCGCCGGAGCCCCCGCTGACCGCGTCGCCTGTTGCAGGGCATCGTGGACAGCGACGACCTGCCCCTGAACGTGTCGCGCGAGACCCTGCAGCAGCACAAGCTGATCAAGATCATCAAGAAGAAGCTCGTGCGGAAGGCGCTCGACATGCTCAAGAAGATCCCCGACGACGAGTACGAGCACTTCTGGAAGGAGTACTCGACCAAGTGAGCTCTTATTTTATTTTTATCTGTCCGTGTTAGAGGTATCACTAACAAGGACTTCCTTAATAAAAGTTAATTAAAAACATTGAGCACCCCCAGGAATCCGTTTTAATTGCGATCGAATACGAAATATCGAGGGAGGGTGATGTGTATCTCCAAAACGTTTATACGTGAGAGAGCCACGCTTCGGCATGAATAGGCCGGCTCGACCGGAGCGATACCACGGCCTCACAGAAAACCGACGTGAAGCAACGCTTGCGTTGTGTTTCGTCGTGTGAGTGAGGGTACCGGAGGCCCAACCCCTCCCTATTCCCTTCCCCCAACCCCTCAACCCTTCCCTCCCTATGATCATATTCGTCCCTCAAAGGCCGGCAGCGCGCTTGTAGCCCCTCTGGTGTTGCAGGTGTCCACTGGCGATGGTTATCACTTCCCATCAGGTGATCCGTCTGCTCGTATGCCCCCTATACCATAAAAAAAAAATCATAACATAACACTCCTTAAAGAACGCCGCGACCTTGGTGAAGTTACTTTTCTTTGTAAATTAATTAATAATCTTATCGATGCCCCTGAAACTTTATATAAAATTACACTTCGAATTTCCTGACCGCATGAATGGCTCAGTCGCAAAAAGCTTGTTTTCTTATATCCAGGTGCAAACACCTACTATAGAAGTAATTCGTTTGTTAGAAGATCCCGTACAGTATATTACCAAAAATTGTGCGATGTTGACATCTTTTGTTCAAACTTAAAAGAATTTAAGAGAGACTCACTGGAAATTTTATCATATGACTCGTGACATGTGCAAGAGGAAAAATAGAGGTGTATTTTTTGTAAAATCTCATTTAATTATTTATTTTGTGTGTAATATAGGCAAAAACTTTAACTTAAGTTTCATGTCTTTTTCGTGTTGGAATGCTTACTTTATTGACTGTGTGTTTTATATAAATTATGAAATATGGAACTGTAGGTTTTTAAGTATATTTTATTTTTATAAAGAACACAATCGTCATGTTACTGTTTGTTCCTAAAAACAAAAAATATGATGTGCAGCATCAAGCTGGGCGTGATGGAGGATCCTAGCAACAGGTCGCGGCTGGCCAAGCTGCTGCGGTTCCACTCGTCCAAGGTGGAGGGGATGACCTTCCTGCAGGACTACGTGGCGCGCATGAAGCCCAACCAGAACCACATCTACTACATCGCCGGCTCCAGCCGCGCGGAGGTGCGTCCGGCTGCTGTCATGCACATGCATGCATGCGTATGCGTATGCGTACCCATGCACATGCACATGCATGAACACCGCGCATATGTGGTTGCAGGTGGAGCGGTCCCCGTTCGCGGAGCGCCTGGTGCGGCGCGGGTACGAGGTGCTATACCTGACGGAGGCCGTGGACGAGTACTGCCTGTCCTCGCTGCCCGAGTACGACGGCAAGAAGTTCCAGAACATCGCCAAGGAGATATTCGACCTAGAAGAGAGTGAGTAACACGCTACTTTAAACGCGATCATGTCTGACTTATTTGACGGGATTATTCATTTGAATCGAGACGTTTCGAGTCGTCGACCCTGTTTTCCGATTTGCGTCTCCATCTGATCGCGTCGAAACTTGCCAAAAATCAGACGTCGAGAGCTATTCTGCTAAACGAATGACATATCTTTCGATCGGATGCGGACCGACCGAACGTCAAATTACACGTTATAGGCGCGGGGCGAACTAAAGTTCATAAATTTGTATTGCTCGTGTAGGCAAATACAGAAAGGAACATTGTATAAAAAAGAAAAAAAACCGCTGTCAGTCAAAATTGTCATATAGGTATGTGCTAATGGTAATTTCCAAGTAATTTGTTAATCTATAGAAAAATATATATGTGTTTATTTATTCAACAAACATTGTGAACCGGTTAAAGTTAATTCTATCGTATATGTATTTGTTCCATTGGATACGAGGGAGTCGTAAATAAAAAATATGGCTTTCAATAATAACTGCAAAGAATCATGTCCACTTTCCATACATTAATTGACCTGTCATTCCTTTTTTTTAAAGGGCGCGTCTACTTACAAATGGTATTATTTTAAATTGGTTTTTGCTTATAATAGAGTTTTAACAAATAATCTTTTCATTTAAAGCCCAGGGAAAGGTATAATTTTTAAATAATATATTGAGGTTATAACAATTGTCAAAACTCGAGATAATTGCGAATTTTAGTTTTATTTATTGGCATTTATTAACTTTATTAAAAATGTATTGTAATATTTTATGATTTTCACATCTCACACAGCTTGAAAGTATTATTTTAATGTAATATAGTCTAAAAAAATGCTGTTGTGTTTTTTTTCGAAACATTTTTAATTTCATTGCTTTGCTACTATTTCTTTGACTAAAGTATACTTGAAATATTAAAATCGATTACGCATAATATCATTTTTAGTCTTAGATTATATTATAAAATAGAAATAAAAACAGTGTTTGTTATAAAATTATTTATTCACTACCAGTATCTTGTCTTAGAACTAGTTCATCCGAAAATGTAGCTGGAGGATTAATGTTATTTTGGTGCCTGGCCCAACCCAGATACCACACAATCTTCATAACATGTGTACAACAACCTACATTACGACGTGCTACAAGGCAATTACAACAATACTCTTTAATGCCTTCTCGTCCATTAACATCATTTATAATCAAAATATAAAACATAATACTGGCGCCTTGAGACATATCGTTCCGTTTGATGCAAAAGAATTTTGTTCTATGCGTAATTGGTTCAACTGTACATTCATTTTGCACATCATTCATACTATTAAAACAAAAGTTTTATAAAATGTTATTTTTAGTCGAGAAAATCAAATTAAATGTAATCGTGCACTTTTTTAACCTTAACACGAATGAATATATTCTCGTAGTAGATGAAACGAATCGCAGCAAACGGTCATTCTGTGGTCCGAATCGCGTTTCCGTATTTAATATAGAATTGTATCAGCTTTCTTGTTTTTTTTTCTTGGTTTTACTTTAATATTTTATTATGCGATATGAAATATGTAAAAAATAAGCTATATTTTAAGATATATCACATCACTAGATGCGTCAGTAGAGAAGCGAAAAATAATGTTAACCTTAAAAGTGGTTTTACAACTGCTAAATATTGAAATTAAATAATTTGAAGTCGATCAAATAGGGACGCCTTTGAAACGCCTTAAAGCGATTTCATGAAAAAGTTTGTGCTCACCGAGGAGTTCGAGTTTATCATAGAATACGTGGTTCTGTGTTTAAGAGCTAATGCCGTCAATGAGCTCTCTGCAATGATTAATGAAGAACGAAAACTTCGGGCTAGGTCTTCGTCTGTCCTCTCTATAGTTCATTAATGACGAGTTCATTAATATTTCAATTCGTCATAACGAAACCGGCTTACCGGGGCTCGTTTTAAAATTAAATTCTAAAGAATCATCAATACATCTTCCGCTCTCCGGCGTCGGCGAATAGATTTTAAAGGTATCGATCGAACGTGGCATATTTTATCGAGTCGAAATGAAATCGCAGGCGCCGGCGAGAAGGAGCGCGCGGCGGCGGAGCGGGCGGAGATGGAGCCGCTGTGCGCGTGGCTGGGCCGCGTGCTGGGCGCGTGGGTGACGCGCGCGGCCGTGTCGCGGCGGCTGCAGCGCTCGCCCGCCGCGCTCGCCGCCACCGCCTTCGGCTGGACCGGCAACATGGAGCGCCTCGCGCTCGCCAACGCGCACCAGAAGGCGGACGACGCGCAGCGCCGCCACCACCTGGCGCAGAAGAAGATGCTGGAGGTGAACCCGCGCCACCCGGTGGTGCGCGAGCTGCTGCGCCGCGTGCGCGAGGACCCCGACGACCCGGCCGCCGTGGCCGCCGCGCACACGCTCTACCGCACCGCCGCGCTCAGGTGATCATCTATATATATAAAAATGAATCGCAAAATGTGTTGGTAAGCGCATAACTCAACAACGCCTCGAACAATTTGGCCAAATCTTTTTTTAAAATGTTCGTTGAAGTTCAAGGATGGTTTTTACGGCGAGAAAAATTAGAATTATTGCTGGAAAAACCCTAAAAATAGCCCTTTTCTTTTTCCCATACAAATGATTTGTAACTAAAACGTAGTCAATTTGAGCTTTATTGCTATGGTATAAAGTTCATATTAAATTACAAGCACTCACTGTTGCCTAAGCAATGTAGGTGTGTTCCTAACGTCAAAGATCATATCTATCAAAACAATGTGCGTGTGTGCGTTGGAGCACAGTATACATAGTTGGAGGAGTTTAATGTCGCGTTCCGAAACTCGCGTTTCTTTTGTATTAGTTTCGGCACGCGAGATAAAATGCATCAGTTTCCACGTCATTACATGTATTGCCGGAACATTGATGAAAATACGCTCTGTAGTAGCAAAGCTGTTGGGTCCTAGATAGCTCATTGGTTAGAGCAGTCCCTGGATCGCGAATGGGTTCGAGTCCCATTCCGGGGTACAGGTAGATGGATTCTTCCAGCATTTTTCCTTGAGAATGTTTATATATTTTTTTAATTCGAATAGTTTACTTTTATAATGCTGTTGTGTGTAATGTGTTTTTATGATCATAAAAATCTCTTTTTTCTATATTTAATACTATTACTATTAATACATTGCAATAATAATTATGATTCACATGATTAACAATAAAGCGATTACTTACTTTTAAATCCTTATATATGTTTTATTTAATTATTTTTTATTCACAACGCCCTATCACCAGGGTGACGGTTCTGTTCAGGAGAATTTTTTTAAATACGTAGGCAAAAAAACTGCCACATTACAAATCTTTTTGACAGGACGAAGTCTGTCGGGTCAGCTAGTTAATCAATAAAAATATCTTCATTCGAGCAGGCTCGCTACGAACGCTTCCCCTCCCGCTTGATGTCTTTTAGCTGACAAAAGTATAATCGAAAAAAAAAACTTACCAGCTCTTTATCATAAGTAATGACGTTTACATAAATCATGTCATTACCAAAATATTATGTATTATCACAATAATAAATACAACTTTCAAAGTCTGTCAGTCAGTTGCACAAAGGTTCACAAAAATTTTCATTAGGTTAAAACGACATCACCGATACAAATTTGCTTAAAGGCATTATTAAACCTAAATGGACATTTTTGCAACTGACCTTGTAGGACATAGGTTGTACATATAATTAATCGTTATAAAACAAAACGAAGGCTATTAATTCCATGCATTGCGATCCTTACAATAATCATCAACTTTATAATAGCCTTTACTCATAAGTATGTTCTTTACATAAATTTTAAAGTTAAAGATATATCGGAGAAGTAGGTGACGATGTCTACACAAAATGAGGGATGCAACACTCGATATCTATGGAACATGCAAAAACCGAAACTGTTTGATTAAAAATAACTGAAATATTCTGTAACAGATTATTCCAGTTTACCACACTTGATTCTGTAACCGAAATATTTCTGTTAACCAATTATGAAAATACTGAAATTAACCAATAGTAACTCATTCACCGTTTGGGTTAGCAACGGTAACGTTTCAGTTAATAACCGAACCCAACCGAACCCTGAGCGATACTCATAATGATCACTCTGTACCGCACCTGCATACGTTATTTATTATTTATATTTTTCCATAATTTATTAATTGTTCAAAGCGTACCCAAGGAAGGTTACTCGATAGAAATACAAAAACGTATATGACTCTCTCATCGAACGTGCCGAATATTTTTTTATACATCGTTTTACCGATTAGTAAAATCTGCATACTATGTGTAATATTAATTGCATTGCAACCGTTGGCAGGTCGGGCTACATGCTGCAGGAGGGGCAGGCGATAGAGTTCGCGGAGAGCGTGGAGGGCATGCTGCAGCAGTCGCTGGGCCTGCCCGCCGACGCCGTGCCCGACGACGAGCCGCTCGACGACGAGCCCGCCGACGAGGAGCCCGCCGAGAATGTTGACGCCGACGCCGACGCCGACCACGACGAGCTATAACTCGCTAACTTCATTTAAAACACGGCGAGATACTTAAATCTGTACGTGCTCCTATATTCCGCGTTCTTCTATTTATAAACCGGGGCCTGAAATCGGTTCAGAATATACCGATTTTATTTAGATAAAACCTGTTTCGGAACATCGAATTCCGGAGCGGATCGCCACCCGTTTCGCTTCCGACCGAGTCTAGGCTCGGGACGTCGTCGCCCGGAGCGATTTTTAATCCGGGCGATGGATAAAACAGTATTTTTGGTATAAGCCGGATCCGGTTTTGTGAAGCTTAGCCTTTTCTAAACGCACATATTTAGATCGAACTGTTTCAGTAAATAAATCTCGTTTCCGAGCTATGTACTATTCGTAGTTGTATATTGACCCCGTGGGACGCATATACAGATTTAAATATCTGGAACATATCTGGTGACTTCTCGTTCATTCCCCAGTCGCGCGGATTTTCTCGTGAGCGCTCCTATATTTACACAAATATAAATGCGAGTAGCCCGCTCGATGATCTGTCTCCCGCTGCTGCGAGATAGTCCCGTAAGTCTGTATGTCACAGTAAAGATTTAATGTAATGTTGTCTGGAACTGCTGGATATTTGTCGTCGATGAGAGTGTGAATTGTGAATGTTCCTTGCGTAAATGTGTACTCAGCAGTACCTCGGGCTGCACAACACTGTCAAATTTCTCTACTTGATTTAAACTATGATGCACTGTGGGTACATTTCAAAAACAACAGAGAAAATTTGACATATTGTGGGAGCCTGATGTGCAGCCGCGTGTACGGGTTTTTTTATATAAAGAACATGACTTAGTGTTACAGTTGTAAATAAATTATATTTATTTAGTAAAATGTTTTTTTTTTTTTACTTTTGGCATAAAAAAAAAACAGGGCATGGAAGTGAATCGTGGTCGTTTACTATGAGTCTCATAAGAAGGCTAAAGTTCACCCAGCGGGCAGTGGAGAGAGCAATGCCTCGTATTTTCCTACGTGATCGAATAAGTAAGTGGACCGACGATCTAACAAAATTCGCGAAATGCAGCGCAGGATCGACGGTCATAGAGACCCATGGGGAGGTGTATCTATGCCCGTGCAGCCCAGCAGTGGGGCGTCGAACGGCTGATACGATGACGAGATTATCGACTGTCAAAAAGAACAGGAGGCCTACTCGCTTTCTCGAAAACGAAATTTCGCATGGAACGCTACTCTTTATCATTTTCGTATATACCAATGAATGTTCGTTTCCAAAGACAATTTTCGTGATCGATTGGAGTGAATAGCGTTATTGGATTTCTTATAATGTCAAATTCCGGTTTTTACCGTAACTCGAAATATATAATATTAAACAATACATATATTTCTTTTAAATAAAAGGGTTTAGCCGGATACGTATGACGAGTCGGCCCCCAAATGGGAATCGATATTGAAACTTATGTTTTAATATAGACTTGATCTTCAAACACGATTTATGTACTTTTCGCGACCGACTTCCGCTTTGACCTTGAGATAGAGAGCAAAATATCCGTATGCTTGACTATTACTGAATGTGATATATCTCTGAAGCTAATTAAGATAAAGAAGTGAAACTAACGCGAGGTGTTAGGTTACATTACAGAGTATATCACATATATTTTTTTATATTTTTTAGAATAAAAAATTACATTAAAAAAATAAAAATAAAACAAAACATGTTTTTTTTTCTGAGTTCTCTGTGACTTACAATCACGAAATTAATATATGTTATGCTGCTTTGTGTGCTCTATCACCCATAAAAATTGCGTGAAAAAAAAGTTGGTGCAACACAACGAAAAAAAATTATATGTGATTCGCGCCTTGTAGTGTGAGTGTATAAACAAACAAGTTCGAACTTGTTATCGAGCTGTTTACTGCATCGTTTGTTTAGCTAAAGTAGCAGTCATTTGTATTAAACAAGAAGGCAGTTCGGGACTCAAATTCTGTCATAGGTATTTTGTATCAGCATTTTGAAATTATTAACTATCGAACCAAATCATTATTAAGTAATAATGTCGAAAAAGTGTAAAAATTGTAACAAGTACCTGTGTAAGATTCCTGGTTATAAAAAAATTATAAAGAATGAAGAAGAAGCTAAAGTGTTTAGTGACTGTTTGAATAAAATCGTAATAGTTAATGATATTTTTGTAAGAAGTGTCGACTTATCCCATATATTAACAAAAAAGCTTCTACTTCTAAATGTGCAGCATTTAACTTGGCCGAAATAATGGACGATCAAAATAATCTCTCAGTACAATATGTGAAATCAGCACCTAATATCATCAAATCATCAAAGCAGAAGTAAAATCAAGACATATAAATAGAAAAGTCTATCGAATTTACATTCACTATATTTCCGAAGGTAATGACTACAATAGTATTCTTCGTTATTGCTGTGATTGCCCCAATGGCAAACGTACAGTGGGATGCTGTTCTCATGTAGCAGCTATTATTTATTATCTATCATATGGATGATATTTGTCCAAAATCGTACGTCCTGCTGAGGTCCTAACTAAGTTATTTGCGACTCAAAGTGTTCCGATTGTAATTAATTACAACAGTGACGATGATTAATATTTTGTTTCTTGTATTTTGATAGACACGAAAAAGTAATAATAATAAGTATTGAACACTGGCTGTTTTTTTTTTCATTTCTTTTTTAACTATTATCCCATCTCTTAAGACTAGTTACTTATGTTTTAAAACAAGCTGATGTGAAATTTCGAAAAAAAAAACAATGATGTAATGTGAAAACCTTATAATACAGGGGTATACCATAAGACAGAAATCACATATAATTTTTTTTCGTTGTGTTGCACCAACTTTTTTTTCACGCAATTTTTATGGGTAATAGAGCACACAAAGGAGCATAACATATATTAATTTGGTGATTGTAAGTCACAGAGAACTCAGAAAAAAAAACATGATTTTTTTATTTTTTATTTTTTTAATGTAATTTTTTATTCTAAAAATTATAAAAAAATATATGTGATATACTCTGTAATGTAACCTAACACCTCGCGTTAGTTTCACTTCTTTATCTTAATTAGCTTTAGAGATATATCACATTCAGTAATAGTCAAGCATACGGATATTTTGCTCTCTATCTCAAGGTCAAAGCGGAAGTCGGTCGCGAAAAGTACATAAATCGTGTTTGAACATCAAGTCTATATTAAAACATAAGTTTCAATATCGATTCCCATTTGGGGGCCGACTCGTCATACGTATCCGGCTAAACCCTTTTAGTGGCTAAACATTGTTTAAACATAAAATATTATAATAATGTAACGAAAAACTTAGTATATTAATGAATTTTATTTTTCGTTACAACTTATCAAGACACTATAAAGAACTCTTTTATCCACAGTATTAACCGACATATTTAAAAACAACCTTTCATTTATACGATGGCTATAATCAACGTATGGCAATCTTAAATATCCGTATAATACAAACGATTCTCATCCCGCCAAAAGTTTTACAAGTTTTCACCAAACTGTCCAGTGTTTACTAATATTTTATTTAATTATTGTGAGTTCCGAAATTTATCTTGGAAATTCAGTAAAAAACTTTATAAGTAAGTATGAAAGTAATATTTAGTTTATCGGCACAAAAAAAGGTTTTTAGTAATAAATTTACTTTTTATCAGTCATATTTTTCAGGTATAATGGCATAGCCTATATGCCTTGTAAAATCGGTAATATTAATGACATAATTCTATAGGTAATTATTCACAATTCATACATAAAACCAAAATAAACAATAAACTATTAGGCACTCACGGTCTCTTAATAAGATTCCTTTCATTTTGGTTTTGAGGGAATAATATATTTTCTTATAATACCTATCTGGTGAATTGAGGACAGTCCTAACCTCCTAACACCGTGAAACTGTTTGTTGGGCCATAGGCCCATCCATATTTTGAGATACGAATCCTTGGTAACTACCTCGGGCATAAAATTTCAACGCTGTAAGAATCATAAAAATATGAAATGCATAATGGTAGGCATGCAATTTTTTTTATCAAGAACTACGATAAAATATCTTCCAAGTTTAATTGTGGACTCGATGGCATGAGATCTTGCCTGTGGACGCAGTAAAGGTATAATCTCTTGGCATAGTTCTTGAAATAATTCACAACTGAGTCTGTAAATACTTACAAACTCAGTATCGAGAATATTTCTTATATTAAGGCTATTTCGAAGCCGCCGCCGATTTCTTCTACGGTCTAATCGTTCTTTACTGAGAGCTGACTCGATTAATAGTAATATAGACCCCATTTCGAAAATAAAAAATTGCTAACGAAAATGAAAAGGTAACATTTTTTACTTCGTCAATTTGAGGTAAGAATTCCGAACAATTAGATGTCAAAGTCAAATGTTCGTTTTGTCATTTCGTGAAATAGAGTAGGTTTAGAAAATAAATATGTCAAACATTTTCGTTCGTTGAATATTCGGAACGAATGTAGGTAATTGTGGTAGGAAACGTCCGAAGTTTCGAACGAAATTTCGTTTTTCGGTGAATTAGAGTAGGCTTCCAGGTTTGAATACTATCATTTAGATAGCTAAATTATAATAATCAAATTGATCAATTATGTAGTATAGCTTTTGTGCAACGACGACCTTTCACAATCCGGGCTACTGCTCTGATTACGAAAGTTGGCGAGTTGGGGTCCCATCTCCGGGTATCTGGGTCTGGTGGACGGAATTTATACTATCTGGTATTAGGGCGCTTGTGCACTGCACTGAATTCTCATGTCCGGCGGTCCGATTTCTTCCGGTTCGGAATGACATGAAAAACCCGGATTAGTAGCTTTTCACTTACCCTCCAATCCGCATTGGGCCAGCGTGGAGGGTCATGGCCCATCCTCCTTAACCATCCATAAGGAAGGCCTGAGCCCCTGCAGTGGGGACGTAAAAGGGCTGGTGATGATGACTTGTATATTGAGTTTGCCAAAGCATATGCAGTGACATTTACCAACTATATTAAATCGTCATATAAAATATAGCATTTTATAATCTACAATATATATAGATTATAAGTTTATTGGAAATTAACAATATCGCCGAAATAAATATCGATTTTACACAAATCGATTATTTTTTCCCAAGCCTATTCCTTATGAATTTTCCGGATCGCGGACACAGCAGTGCACAAGCGTAAACACGTTTGTCATTGTCGCCATCACGGACCTGAAAAACCGATCCAGAATAGAGAAAAGTAAAATCCCGGACGGTAAAATTCCTGACAGTGCACAGGCTAGCATTACCTATATATGGCCTGACATAACGGATTGGAAAAAATCGGACCGCCGGACCTGAAAATTCAGTGTAGTGCACAAGCGCCCTTAGAGCTCTTAATGTAACTGGTATACCAGTATTATTATTACAAGCTTATCACTATTATTACAGGTAACCTTGATACAACAGCGTGACCACATTACTTAAATACAATTATGACTTGTTGACTATTATGATAAATGCTTCTTTATGCACATCTCTAGGAAAAAACGGTCGCACTCCTCGTCTTATCATTTAAAAAACATAAAGCTCAGAGAGGTCGATGCCATTCGTGACTTGGGTGTTATAATTGATAATAAACTAAAGTTTAATGTTCATATAAATGATATTGTAACTAGAGGTTTTAAGTTGCTTGGTTTTGTTTTGCGTAACTGTAGGGAGTTTAAATCTGTTCGTAGTAAGGTTTGTGTATTTAATAGCTTCGTCAGATCAGTTCTCGAATATTGTAGCCCAATTTGGTTTCCATTGTACGATATCTACATTAAACGAATTGAATCAGTTAATAAAAGATTTCTCTGGCATTTAGCTTTTCAAAG